TATATATATATTTGGTTTTTCGAGACAGGGTTTCTCTATATCTTTTTTAGTGCCTGTCCTGGAACTAGCTCTTGTAGACCAGGTTGGCCTCGAACTCACAGAGATCTGCCTGCCTCTGCTTCCCGAGTACTGGGATTAAAGGCGTGCGTCACCACTGCCCGGCTTCAACAGTATATTTTTAAGACTCTGTTCTTTGGTGGATGTGTAAAATGCCAACAGAGAGAGGATAGGTGGATTATCTAGTTATATATAACAGATTTCTCCATATTGCCCATCGTCTTACCAAATGGTGAATGACCTCGAATGTCAAAAATACTTGGCCTAAGTTTGGTCAGGGTCAGAAATAACACTTGACTTTCCTACTGGTAGCCACTCGCACATGTGAGAACTCTCAAAGCCTCTGTGCCATAAAATGTGGTCTTTTCCAACCAACCACTTAATGAAGATTTGGATCTAACTCAGAGTTCTGCTCCTTTGCCACTTCCTCCAAGATGTGGCCAACAGACCCAGGGACCAGACTTATCCAAGGGCTAAAGCTGAGCGACATCTGGAAAGGGCAACTCAATGACTCAGTTTCCTTGGTCTCCAGGGTCCCAACACAGCCACTGTGTTCCGCCCTGAGATGCAGTCATTGGAAACACACTTATACTCAAAGAAAATAGATTTGTCAGCTATAAGTAGGAGTCCTAAAATAGATTTTCTCTCTGAATATGAAACTTCCCTATCCTATGAGCATTTGACTCATTGTTTAGGGAAGTGAGCAAGTAAGCGGGATATTCTTAGCCTGTAAAAGTACATAATTATCTGCAGGTATGACTCCAAGAAGCCCCTGGGATACTTGTGACCTGGCCTGAAGGATTCTTGTCCCAAAATGAGTAATATGAAACATTATTCCTGTGGTGAGGTTAGTAATCAGTGGCCTTAAAGCTAACAAAATGTTGGTATCCCGAGTGCCTAGCTAAATAAGGAGATACTACAGAAAAGATGAGACCCTTCCGTGAGAGATGGCCTCTGCTGGCCTGGAAAAGATGAAGTGGCCAGTGAGCACAGAGGGTCTGTTGGGCCTCGGAAAACTGCTTGTTGTAAAGTAGAGTGGCGGGCTGCATCCCGCCGCCTGGCTAGCTTATGCCCGAAATAATCACACGGAGATCTGTTTTAATTAAATTGCTGCTTGGCCCATTAGCTCTAGCCTCTTATTGGCTAACTCTCACATCTTGATTCAACCCATTTCTAATGATCTCTATGTCACCACGAAGATTCAGCATGTCTGACCTGGCAACTTCATGGCAGGCGGCTCTCTCTGACTCTGCTTTCTTCCTCCCAGAATTCTGTTATGTCTTCCCCGCCTACCTGAGTTTGCCCTATCAGCTAGGCCAAGGCAGTTTTCTTTATTCAACCAATGAAATCAGCACAAATACACTTCTACACCAACTGCTGCCCCGAAGCTGCCTTGTGTTCTGTTTCATCGTCTCGCCAGCTTCTTGTGAAGATGCTTTCTGCAAATGTTTATGAAATCAGTTTGCTTTGATGAGGATCTCCAGAGTGGTCGACAGCAAGCCCACTGAGGGCCCAGCAGACCGCTGACCCTCAACAACCTGAGACTTCCCAACGAACTCCCAGGAGCTCTGGTTTCCAGGCTAGAGAGGATGAGATCACCAGGTGAGCCTTCCGTCCTTGGTGAGTGGATTTACCCCGCTGGCCTGGTCAGCAGGCTGGAGCCAATTGTCACACAGACTTCTTTCGCATCTGAGGTCGTGTGAACATGACCTGGATAACGAATGGGCACATTGTCTACTATGCAGTGCCCCCATTTTACACCCCTTTCCCATAGTTTCCTCTGACACCTCCCCCCTCCCCCCGGGCCCCAAGTTCAGCTAGAAAGTGGAACGCCTGTCACGGGCACCGAAGTCATCATGCAGGGGCCCTGTGATCCCCTCCGGCTCTCCTTCCACGGTTCTATCCGATGCTTCATTTTCTCTGACTCGGCTTTCCTTCGGCCAACTTCCTAGCAGGGCTTTCCTCAGCTAATCCTCTGGCCCGGTGCCCCTAACTTTTGTTATTAAATGAGTATAAACGGCAAATTCCTTGAGCCTCCCTGGCCTTCCTCCTCAGAGGCGTTCCTATCCAAGTCCTCTCGCGCACGGCCAAGTCAGAGCTGCAGCCCCTTAGTATCAGACTGTCCAAGGAGCCTGCAGCCCCAGGCTGGGCCCCCCACTTAGAAGTGGGCAGCTGGGACAACGGGGCGGGGGCACGCTACATTTTGGGAAACTTCTGTGCCTTTAGACAACCCTTTGGACTTAAAACAAAGCAGAGGAAGAAGATAGACAAATAGCAAAGACTTCTTCCAAATGCTAAGACATAATGTTCCTCTCTGTCTTTCCAGGAAAGAGCTAGCGCTCCTGGGAGCCACACACTTTCTAGGACAAAGAGGTTTCAGCAAGGGAAAGCAGCAAAAAGAGGTGAGGCAGAGAGGCGTCGCCTGCTGTCATGCCTTGCGCTTGAAGCCGGGGCCAGGCAGAGGCCCAGGGATCACACTGCTTAACCAGAAATAGTTTCAACAACTCCCCTGAGTTCTGGAGGCTATTTCTAGATGTGAAGGAAAAGGAGAAGAGGGAAAAGAATTGAGTGCAGACCTAACTGCATGGAGAAGGGGCCTGAATCCCCATCAGCTGGAGTAGCTGTTCCCACACCTGCAGTAGGAGAGCCCGGAAAGAATTGACTCTCAGCAGAGCTACAACAACAGACAGACTGGGAGACCCTCAGGAACGGACATTTGCTCAGACCTCGCTATACTGCCAGAACCGTGAACCCCAAGACATCCCAGAATGCTCCTTTGTAACCTGTTCCCCAAAAGCTCCAGTTACGCACAGATAAGAGAACAGACACAGATGCAGGGACAGAGTCACAAAACAGTCTGCAGATAGGTTCATACTGAACACACAGCAGGCAGGCAGGAATGAGGAAAGATTCAGGGAGCATCCGGAAGCAGAGAATATGACCCAGGACTTGCTCTCGGTGAAATGACACCATGGGGAAGCACTTTGATTGCTTTTCTTAAGGTATCAGTATCAGGGTTGTGCCCTATCGCGGAAATCTGACAAGTCACCTATGATAGTGACTCACCTATGGCTGCGGTCAGACACCGTGACCTAAAGCAACTTGGGAAAGAAAAGCTTTGTTAGAACTGGTGGTTCTGCATCCAGGGAAGTCAGTGCAGGAACTCAGGGCAGAAGCTGGCAGCAGAAACTAAGGCAGAAGCCGCGAAGGGGAGCCGCTTATGGCATTGATCTGCATGGCAAGGCTCACCTAGCCTGCTTTCTTAGAGCACAGGACCAGCAGGCCAGGAGTGACATCATCTACAGTGAAGCTGTGCCCTCCTACATCAACCATCAACCCCCCCTCCCGACTACATCAACCATCAACCCCCCCTCCCGAATGTACCACAGGCCAATCTGGTGTGGTAATTTTATCAACTGAGGTTCCCCCTTTCCAAATGAATGTAGCGTGTTTCAAGTTGACATGAAACTGGCCAGTACACCACCTATCTTTTTTTTTTGTCTTTTTTTTAGATTTATTTATTTTTGTTTACAGTGTTCTGTCTGCATGTATGCCTGCAGGCCAGAAGAGGGCACCAGATCTCATTACAGATGGTTGTGAGCCACCATGTGGTTGCTGGGACTTGAACTCAGGACCTCTGGAAGAACAATCAGTGTTCTTAACCCTGAGCCATCTCTGCAGCCCCATCACCTATCTTTTTACATAGCTTTCATCTTCCTAAGCCAAATAAGCCTGCCTGCTCTGGCCATCCAAGGAGCACAGCTGGTAAGATGAAATGCAAGAGCATTGGTTAGTCACGTGGTTGAAGCTGATCACACAAAGTGCTTAGCCAGAGCTGGTGCACAATGTCAGGCTGCATATGCTGGCTCCCATGCAGGTACATGTAATCTAGCGCTTCCAGAGAACAGCCTGGCACCCCCACCAATGCCTTGCCATCTCTGGGACCTCCAAGCTTGGCCTTTTGTGACCTCCCAGTGAGCGGGGCAGTAGCTTCCCTCAGGCCCTTCCTGGTTTGGTCTGTTTTATGTGCATGCCTAATTACCGCGCAGTTGGAAGACAATCTCTGGGTTGAGACCCCCCACTGCGGGAATCAGCTGCACTGCAGCCACAGGCGTCTTTCACTTGTCATTGTGGTTTGGATTCCTGCTGGTGTCTCTCTTTCCCTGCTGGGCTCCCTTAGAGTGTGAACGGTCCAGAGAACTGTAGAACCTTACTCCATTCCTGTTGGCAGCGAAAGTGCCCTGGCATGGGTAGGCCAGGCGTTCACAGACTTCCATCTCACGGCCTGCTACTGTATGGATGAGGCAGGGATGGAAGGAGGGAAGGGGAAGTCGCTAATGCTTTGTCCAGGTCCCTGTGTCCACACGTCCACCTCTTTACACTTGTGAGTGTGATTCTCAGACAGTGTGCCACGACAACCGCTGGAGTTCTGCAGACTGCCCCTGGGCAGTTCCCTCCCAGGGTGAGCCTCCTAATGGGGCAAGAGCAGGTGGTCAGGCCACTGTGAGGGGCTGCAGGCCCCTCCTCCCTCTTCTTCCTTTGGGAGCTCTCAGTGCTAAAAACAAGCTTTCTGAGAACCATATTTTTTTTTCTGGGTTAAAGGTGAAAAATGCAACATTTCCTCCAAGTGGGAAGCGCTCCGCCTGCCAGCTCCGGGCACATCTCCTAGATCCTTCCTCCCACTTGGAGAGGCCAGAGGGGCGGGGAAGGGAGGAGGGGAGAGGTGGCGGAAAGCAGAGGAGGGAAGTCGGAAGGAAAGGCCAGTTACTGTGGACCTGGGGCAGTTGGGTGTGTGGAAACCAGTGGGCCTGTTTGTGTTGGAGCAGCTCACGACCCGAAAGGGGCTGATCAGGAAGTGAAAGGCAAATAAGAGAGTAGCAGCCAGCGAGCAGGAAGCCGGTCAGAGTGGTGACAGACACGCCTGACAGGATTCTGGGGGCAGGGCAGGGACAAAGACAGTCCGGCAGACTTGCCCGAGGGCGATCTTGGTGGTGGGTCTAGAGAAAACATACAAGGTTGTTAAAGTCCGGTTTAGTAGAAAAAAACAATATTATCGGCCTGCACTCTGCTTCTGTTATCCCTGCTTAGAACCTGTGGAAGGTTCTGGGGAGTTTTCTCAGATTCTGATTGAGGGAGCTTTTCAGGAACTGATGCTTCACAGTGCCCTTCCTCCTTTGCTGAGAGGACACTGACCCCCCAGTTCCCTGACTCCTCCCTGAACCCCTCTCCCAGCCAGACTTCTCAACCTGTCTCTCACCACAGCCGCCACACAAAAGCCAAGGCTCTGGCCCTACTCCCTGCAAGTCCCTCCTCAGAAAAACAAAGCTACTGTGTATCAGGCAACAGTAAGGGTAGAGGGTCGAGCAAGACAGACACAGAAGACCAGGGAAGAGAGAGGCCAGTGCTGCTTGAATTGAGCCTGTCCAGTCACGGAGAACTTCACTTAACTCAGCTGTCATCAATCCCAAAGCTTCCGTAGAAAAGCAGTTGATAAGGGCCCTCTTCCCTTCACGGTGTGTCTTTCAATGACATGATTTGCTAGGGTGGATGGGCACATTAATGGTCCTGATGTGTGTACCCCTTCTTGTATCCATGGTGGATGTTCTTGTATCAGTCACAGGTCCTCTCACTACGAAGAGGAGTTCCTTTTCCACCGTGCGTGGGAAACTATTTATTGGGTGTGTTGTTGTTAACTGGGTGCAGGTGGAACCATACATCACAGTTCTGAGCCTGGGCAGTAAGACACCTGGCCTGGCTCTCCAGCATCCCTACTCTCTTCCGCTGTCAACGAGACAGGCGCGTCTACGCTAGCCAATTGTTCCCAGCAAGATGTGGGGTCCACAGAGCAGATCCAAGTCACCTTACCATCCCAGCTATTCTGCCCATGAGGAACTCCAGCAAAGACTTGAAGAACCACCTTGTCAAGATGACCAAAGCTGCTAGAGGCTCCAGGCTGGCCATTCAAGGCACAGGAGCAAGTTACTACTGTGAACCATGGGTGGGGGTGGGACATGGAGGTCAGTTAGGAAGCCTTACTGTGGCAAGAGATAATGGTTACATTTAGAGATAAAAGCAGCCTAGCCAGCAGCCCAGGCTAAGCTCTCAACTAGGGGTTGAAGACATGAGCCTCATGATTATTTCTGCTAGAAACTCATTCCACAGGGCCTGGGTTTTGTCCACAGAGAGGGCGGGAGAGCCATGGCCTTGTTTCTTGCCCTGTACTCAGACCTGAGACTCCTTACCCTTTGGAGTCCTTCTTCTTCTTGTCCTTATCGGAAGGACCCTTCCTGCCTGCACTCCATCACCCTCTCACCCTCGCGCCCCCTCACCACCTCCCCTTAGCCCCACCGGCTTCCCACCCAGAAAGGCCTTCAGAATCAGCACACACTCCCAGGCCCTTGGTCCTGGGTCATTGCATTTTCCTAGGATAACACTCGTAGAACAACAGCTCATCTGTGACCATTCCTTGGCCTCCAGTCAGCTGGATATTTTGTTAAAATTGCAATGATTATCTCTTTCCCAGAGGACACCCATTCACATTGTGCTATAAAAACAGATCTATTTTACCTTAGAAAGGAGTGACCTTGGGAGCCTCCAGGAAAAAGTGTTGGGGTGACTGGGAGGCAGTGAGCCCCATAGTCTACTATATGCCTTTTTTTTCTTTCAGACTACATTCATCAGGTGACCAGGTGACATGGGCAAGAGGCCAAGATCACTATAACTGTTGTGATTAATATTAATCCTTGCCATGAAAGCCTCCTAAACACAAGAGGCAAAAGGTTGTGACTCAAGGCAACCCTCTCTGGTTTATTTTGCCATCTTTTTGGAGTCTTAATATGCCCAAAACTGTGCTTTGCACCAAACTCAAGCCTTTGCTGAGTGGATGCTGCATAAACAAGGCTAGAGTCATGCCCGGGACTAATTATAGGAGTGAGATCGTATTGCTTTCCACTTATGGGGGCAGCGTTCATCTCACTTTTCTCTTAGTGAGTCCCGTCGTGGGGACCCGCCAGGGAGCCAGCTGTCGGCAGTCATGTGCACGCATAGCACAGGGCACAGCTGATGATACAGAAAAGGAAGCACCCTTCTCCGTCCTAGCCCAGATCCTCTGACCCTGCTGTGGGCATATTCCAAACCCCACACAACGTCGGACTCTAGTAGAGAGGTCCTTTGTAGGTGTGGCCTCTGAAAAACCAGTCACATCTCCACAAATGAGTGCTTCCTCATCCCCTTTAATCACGTTGGTTACAGGTACTTTCCCTCTCTTAAAGACAGCGTGGCAGCGCCCCACCTCAGCGATACATTCCTCTTACTCTCTTCACTTTGGACAGCATCTTATACCCTTGGATCATCACTGAGAGAGAATGGTTGCCTCCCCCAGCAGCCCACCCTCGTCACTCTCTACCACTTCATTCACACTACAAACGGCCCAATCGTATCTCATTTCCAAGAAAGCTCTTAGGAAAGTGTGCTGTAATTAAGGTCACCCACCTTAACTTGCAAAAGCACCCCATAAGTGTGGACAGTCTGCGGCTATAAAAATAGACACATACAAAAGTACAGCTACAAAATCTGGGGGCCCGTTCTCTTCAGTTTGTATCATAAAAAAAAAAAAAAAAAAAAAAAAGGATGCTTGCCTTAGAGGTAAGCTTGGGGAATGGGTCCACGGTATGATTATGATTCTCTGTTTAATTCCCCCCGCCAAACTTTTAATCTTATGGACTAGTGAGAGCACACTGAGTCAGCCAGTGAGGAATGGAAGGGGTTAATCTACACAATCCACAGGCCAAGACTGGAAGTATGAAGGGTCACACAGTCATTCTGCAAGTGTCATAAGTCAGGGAAAGACAGAAGTATTTTAATACTGTTCTGTGGAGTTTCTCTCTCTCTCTCTCTCTCTCTCTCTCTCTCTCTCTCACTGTCTTTAACACAGCATAGTTATTGAGCTACAGCAGACAGTCTCTGGAACTTGGTTTGATGTATGATCTCTCACAGGCTCTATATGTCGAACAACAAAGTCCAGTGCTTCTTATCCACAATAGTCCATTGGGTTTGGCCCACAGAGCATTTGCAGAGAAGGCCACGCAGGGCCTCCAGCCTTGGTTCCCACCAGGGCGTACTTTGTCCTTGGTGACAGGAAGCACACCCGATCCCCAGACCTCTGTGCAGCTTCAGGCAGGGTCTCCGGGCCCCTGGGATGTTTCGGATAGAGGCTGTGTCCGTGGACAAGGCCGGTGGGTGTTACTTAGCGCCACAAGTGTTGATGTTTTTCCCGTCCACAGCGTCCTCCACAAGGGAAATGTGGTAATCGGTGGACAGTGTGAAGTGAGAGATGCAGCCCACGAGGCCTTGCATGTACTGTCTGTTCGTGTGCAGAGCGATTTCCTTCATCCCACCTGCAGGGGGCCAAGATGGAGGAGAGAATGAGGCAAGATGAGGGGTCACCAGCTGGAGATTCTGTATGGTCCATTTTGTGTCCCCTGGTCAAGCTCTAACTGCCTAGAACATCGCAAGTATTAGTTTGATTTTGACCAATTGGATACACCTCTGAACACTTAAAAAGGCTGATTTCAGATGTGATATCTGCCTCAACTGACAATCTTAAAACTGAGTAGCTCTCCAATAGATTTTGAAATAGTGTATAATGTCCATAGGCACTGTCTTGGCAGCTTTCAACTATGCTCACTTAAAAACCACAAAGGGTATTAAATTAATGTTTATTTTTGTCAGTGTAGTGGATTATTAGCCATTTATAGGAATTCTACTCATTCTATTCTGAGAGGGGACACAGAGCCGGATCCTCCTTCCTTAGAGAGAACTCATGTGGGCTTATATTTAGAAAGTTCCTATTCTATAAACAAGAAAAGCATGGTTTTCCTGGTGGATGACTTCAGAGCACAGAGGCAAAGTGAACGAGTCCCTTCCTGCCTCCTCAGTCGTGAGTCAGAAGTTCAGAACATGGGAGAATGGACTCTCTGGACAGCTTCCTGATTTCCAGGTATTTGATTGACCCTGTTGAGTACACAGCCCAGGGACAGCAAATAAAGGTCTAACGAGGAAAATCCCTGAGGGACTGAGCTTTGGTCAAGGTCACTTACCCACATACAGAGGCCCATTGATGTTAAGTTGCCTCATTGTGCCAGGTGACTTGCCTGTTCTGGCTCCGTAGTCATCCACCGTCATCTTCCCAGATTGGCCATCCCTGCAAAGCAAAGTAAACGGAAACCAAACGAAGTAAGCTATCGTCGTCGGAGTTAATTCAATCATTTGGATTTAGAGATATAGAAGTATCTACCATGTGCTAAGTGATGATATTGTAAAGCACGCATACACACACACACAAACACACACACGCACATGCACACACACAATGCTGGCTTTTATAGCCCCATGGGAAGTAGAGCCAGCCCTGGATCACTCACTCCCTGATACCATCTATTCATTCCTCGAGTTTTCAAGAATTTCTTCCTGTTGGGTCCTCTATATTTTAAAAATGAATTTTAGGCCTTCCTGCCTGGATGCTATGATGGACAATGACCTTCATAGTTTGTCTTGCTTGAACTGCCACCCACCCCATTGCTCTAAACTATTCCCACTTACTTGATTTCATCAGTTATGGCATTTTTCCTTCTTTTTAGACTAACGTGTTAAAAGATATACCTTCTAATCACTTTTATCTTAGATTGGAAAAAAGTATAGTCACCTTCTGAGCTCCGTGATACACAATTCATTATGCTTATTGCTCACTACTTGTCTTTTTCCTCTCAGAGGAATGCAAGACCACCAAGGCAAGGTCTTGGTTTTCCTCAATGATATGTCTCAGGTGTCTGGAATAGCGTATGGCTCATACTAACAGATCCATGAGCAACCCTTGTATGAAACCATAACAATTACGATCGACTTCCAGAGTTATTGTGGAACCCATCTATTTTGCATGCAAAGCACAGAGTACCTTACACACATCTTGCTCTATGGAGGTGGGCTAAGGGGCCGGCTGCTATGCTTACCCACATATTATCATATGATTGCTTGAAAAATACAGATCTTAAACTTCTGTGAATATGAACTGTTGTAAAGCACTGTGTCTCAATTATCTGGCATAAGTGGTTGGATAAACGAGACATTTCTTCTACTCTGGTAGGTGTCATGCTTACAAGACCAAAGTCATCCAAAGCAAGACAGCGCGCAAAGCAGCCCCCTCCCCTTAGCAACTCCCTCTTTGTTTATTCTGTTGTCTCTGCCCTTCCATAGAGAATTAAGACATCAACCCAGTCCTTCTTGCCATATGTGATAGCCATAGCCTCGACCCCACTTCCATGAGGCCTGTCGGCTCACAGTTCACAGATACTCCAACCCACCATGCTGGCCCCATCTCCTACCCAGCCCTCATTGTACCCCACGACGTGCTAAGAATGAAATCAGTGACGTCAACCGGAGGGGCTGTGTCTACTGAGCTCTCCGCGCATGCCAAGCTCGATGTTCTGGCATACGACGTTCTTCTGAGGGAACATTCCTCTGCATTATTTCTCCCAAACGTCTGAAATCCCTGTGTGTGGGCTGCAGCCTGGGGTGGAACAGAAATGCTTTTGATCTAGGTTCTGCCCACAGCAATTTATGCAGTTTGGGGAAACGCATTTAACGTGTTTCCTTAGATGTCTAGGAAGGGACTGGTGACCCTACCATTGTGTATCTTCATGTACGTAATCAAACCACAGTAACTATGAAGGTTTAAATTCTCCTACAGTGTGTGACTAGTCTATCAACCATTCCGACCCAAGGTTATAAGCAGGGTCTATTCCCTGATGCTACTGGGACAGCAGTTGAAACTAATGTGGTTGGTGCTGAGAACCAAAGAAAGCATTGCACATTCCTTTGGACATGCCTGCGTGCAATGTCCTTTGTAAACAAGAGAGAGGGAATGAGCCATTCACTTCAGAATGTTTTCAGGTTAGGTTGGACTCTGCATTTTGACTTGTTTTCTAGAAAGAAAAAAATGAGATCCAAATCTGTAAATATGTATTACCAAAAAACCATTTTTTTTTCAACAAATGGAATTGGGGACTTGTTAAAATCCCTACACACACATCTGGTCTTTGTGGGCTGCCTGGCAGCGGATAAACCTAAGTCTGTTTTTGTGTCCTCAGCACCTTCTGAGGTTCTAAGGCAAGCCCCATGGTGAGGGCAGGAGGCTCGAGAAGGATGAGCTCAACACAGCCTACGTGGAAGCAGAGGAGGAAGCTGACAATGTGAGGCTGTCCCCAGGCCTCACATTGGCCATCCCCTGCTGATTCCACAGCAAAAGTTATGGCCCTTTTTTCAGGGAACTGCCATCAGAATCTCTATCCAGCTTCTTTTCTCTTTGGACTCATTTAACACATGCTACTAACATTGCTGATCTGGACTTGTTCTCTGATTTCTAAAAACATATGGTTAGGAATAAGGACACATGCGGCAAGGCTGTAAAGGCTCAGAAACAGTCTGCCTGAAGCTAATCAAAAGTCAGCTTGGCAATTAGCATTAGGAGGGCGTGGTTACGTTAGGAGGGCTAGGTGAACATTCACGATTTCTAAAGCTCAGATAACATTTTTTTCAAAGGGGGAGGACTGCTTATGCAAGGACACTCAGAGCATCCTTTAAGGTCTTCATGCCCCCTAATTTCCATCTCGTGGGGTTTTAAGGCCCCACTCTAACTTAGCCCCTAAAAAGTGTATTCCACACATAACAACAGATGCTAGCAATGATATGGACCACAAGGAACTCTTAGAGCTTGCTGGTTAGAATGTGAACTAGTTCAACCACTATGGAAATTAATAAGGAGATCTCTTAATAAATCTAAGGATCCAACTGTACAAGTCCTTGGGAAAACCCCAAGGACTCCAACCCTACACGTCACAGGGATGCTCACACACTAATGTCTGCTGCAGTGCTATTCATTAGAGCTAAGCTACAGAAGCAACCTCGGTGCCCAGTAACCAAAGAATGGTTAGCAAATATGTGATTTTTTTTCAGTCAGAAAGAAAGAACAAAAGTGACATTGCTCAGGAAAGTATATGCTCCTGGAGATAATCATATTAATCAAATCCAATTTGTCTCAAAAAGACAAATGTCATGTCTTTTCTCTTTTGTGGTCTCTTTATTTGTAGATAGATAAAATCACATGTGTACATGTGACACGGAAGTAGAGATGAAATTGTCCCATTGGCCCAAAGAGAGAGCCAATGGAAGGGGTAGAGGGATGAACGTGGTATACATTGGATACTTATATGAAAATGTTCTTATGTAGTGAGTGCAATGCGGTGTTAAGTAAATATCCACACAATACAATTTTTTTTTCTCCAGGCTATCTCCTTCCATTTGGAGTAGGTACTGGGGTTCAGTTTCTGCCAATTGGTGTCAGCAGGGGACATGGGTGGATACTGGCAGCAACATGAGGATGCCAGGTGAAGCTGGGTTAGAGGGCAGAAGGACAGAAAGGAAGCTGGGCACACATCCACCCTCTTGTAGCCCGGCTCTGTCTCCCTTTGGCAGGTGCTCACCTGACAGCCTTGACCCGGTGCCACCGGCCATCGCTGAAGGAGCCATTCACCACGATGGAAGCCACGCCGCTGCCCAGGTTGTAGCTAAGGAAGAACAAGGAAAGGAACAATGAGACACAAATGTTCACAAAGGCTCTCACTGTCAAAGCTCACCCAGAGAGCCATGTCCTTAACTCAAAGTTAAAAAAGGCTGGCACTCTCCAGGTTCGTATATGAATGAAGGAATTTTTACATTTTCAACTGTGGTGGGATAAACATTACACTCACCATCTAAGTCACTTTAAGTGTGTGCTTTAGAAGTGTTAAGAATATTCTTGTGTAACTACCATGTACAGTACTTCCATCTTGCAAAATGAATGCTTCAGAGCTCTAGGGTCCCCTCCCCTCAGCCCTGAGAACCACTCTTTTCCTTATCAGCTTTGACTAATAGGGACACCCAGTTAAGCAGAGTCACACGATAGCTGCATTTTTATGAGTGCCTTCCTTCACATGGTAAGCTCATCAGGGTGATTCAGGCCCATGTAGAGAAGCATCCATAGTGATGGTATTGGGACAAACAAGAAGAGTTTATCATCCGCATGGTTTGCACAGTGTTTCTCTGAAGTTCCTGTCCACCCTGAACCTCGGAATGTGGCCTTATTTGGAAAGAGGGTCTGATGCAATTGAATCAATGAAGCCACACTGGGTAGGAGGGGCCATCAATCAATATGACTTACGTATCATTATTCGAAGAAATTTGAACACAGGGACACATGAAAGGGTACGTGGGGTGAAGGCAGAGCTAGAAACACCAAGGTTTGCCAGCCAGCACTAGGGCCTCAGCCAGAACCACCAAAAGAACCTCCCTTGATCCTGTCAAGGAAGCGGTGCTGGCAACATGCTGAATTTTGGGTTCCTAGTCTCCAGAAGTGTACAAGCATCGATTTCTTTTTTAATGTGATAAAATTTATCGTAATTTATTACAGAAGTCCTAAGAAGCTATGAAACATTTTCACTTTAAGAAAGAAAAAAACGTTATTGAAGAGTAGGCTGAACTCTAAAGAGCTGAAGAGACTTTGAAATCACAGAGGTAAGATTTAAAATGGGGTTTCTCGCATCCTCTGCCCTGCTGTTTTTGATATCAGCTCTTGTAGCATTTTAACTCCCTGATACGTGGAAACCCTCCAGGAGTCACAAGACATGGGTGTGCTGACCAAGAGACAGCCCTCTTGACTCTCTGAGCACGCAGTTATACTAACTTAATTCAATCCAGAAAATATTCAGTGAGTGACTACTCTAGCCTGGGCAGGGAGCCAGCTGCCTAGACTTCCCCTGAGTGACACCATCCCATCACGTGCCGATCTGAATGGGGTCCACAGGGGCAGCTTTGCCCTCACTTGGGAAGGGAGCTGTCTAAACACGGTAGGGGGAAGAAGAAGGCTCCAATGAGACTCTGGCTCCTTCCAGATCACTCGCGACCCTTATTCTGAGAACAGAGTGAGAATAGAAAGCACTTGCATTTCCCAGAGAAAGTTCTATAGCTCATTCATTTCATAACAGAGTCTCAAGGAAACAGCACAGCCACAGCGTTCAATCAAGAAGAGAAGCTGTGGAGACTTAACAAACCATTGGACACAGCTGCCACCCAGACCCTAAAGTCTGCACCACTTTCAAGCCCGCTTTTCCCGCATCAAATGTCTCTTATAAAATAGCCAGCAGGTGAGGCTTGTGATGATTCCTTATGGGGAAGCCAAATGGGTCTTGAAGGAAAGAGTGGCTGTGGGCCTGTAGGGTAGCTTAGAGGGGAAATGTGCTTTCTCCAAGCCTGGCAGCCGAGCTCAAGTCCCAAGACCCACATGGTGGAAGGGGAGAACTGGTTCCCACAGGCTGTCCTCGAATCTCCATGTGCGCACTATGGTTCACACTTGCACACACACACACACACATGCACATGCACACACACACAGTGTGGGAAGTAAATACATGTAACAATTCTTAGAGAGGAACGAGTATAAAGCAGAGTCAGGAGGTTGGCTAAGTGACTGCGTGTGGCTTTGCTGAGCAGTAGCATGGGTGACGTCACAGACACTCAAATTCTACACACCTGTCTGCATCTTCTGTCTTGCCAACTTACCAGCTCTATCACCGTAGGCAATTCACCTAGTTCTATCAAGTACAGGTAAAGACACTTTCCCTGAAGGATATAGGGAAGGTTCACTAACACAACACAGAGTAGGAACTAAAGAAATAATGTCACCATACCAAACCAAAATTGTGGGGCTTGGTGACACTTATTCAAGGGCTTGACAACACACCCTGAGGAGAGGGGAGCCCTGTGGGGGAGTGAACCCAAAGTGGTAAACATGTAACTAACACGTCAAGAATGCCCAGGTCCTACAGTCAGGTGACCTGTGTTAACTACAGGGAACCCCGCTGGAATGTGCCAGTCAGTGTTGGTGTGACTCAAACATTTCCACTGTATTAGAACCAGGCAGGACAAGCATGGGCTTCATTCTTTTCCGAAGCCAATAGCTCTCTTACTCACTGGAAGGAACAGAACATGCTCATGGGAACTGAAATAGAGTTTGGCAGACAAGAATTCTACCATCATGTAAATAGGACAACTCAGTTGGTTTCTTTATGACCTCCCTCTCCAACCCCGACTCCATCATTACAGGCCCTGAAAAGAAGCACCTGTTCATACTCTCCCTGGATCATTTGTTTAATAAGCAGCATATGTGTATGCATAGAAACACTTGCTGCATATGAAACAATATATAATATATATATATATATAATATATGCTTTGTCTGAAACAGTGTTGTCCTCAAACTTACTATGTAGCTGAGGCTGGCCCGCAACTCCTCCATCTTCCTGTTTCTCCTTCCTGAGTATTGAGACCCTAGCCACGCACCAACACATCTGGCTCTACATATTTTAAATTGCACCAGGCTGTCCACTGAGCAGATACGCCCTACCTTGGGGTTATGCCTGCTTTCAAGCCATGGAAGCAATGAACGAATGCTGGCCTGGCCGCTTTATCAATGTTACCCGACTCTTGCCGCTTTGCATAGGTTATCCTAAGCCACCTAGCTTGATGTGTACCAGTGGCTGACAGATTAACCAACAAGATAGGCAGCCTAGATAGGCTCCGGGTCTGGCCTTTGGAAACTACTTGGCCATCTTCAGGCCTTAATGAGGTTCCTTTTAAACCGTGGTACAGGGTACTTTACTATGTCAGACCTCTTCTTTTTCCTCTGGTACCTGAAAGAGCTATGTGGTCACAATAAGTGGGAAAGGTCATCATATGACATTTATAGTTTCCCGGCTGGTTTCCGTGACCCACTTGTGACAGACTAGAATGTGAAAACTACAATAAAACTGAAAGCCACATTCATTTCAGATAGCATTTGAATTTCTCTCTATGTGTTCAACTTGGCTTCTAAACTAACGCTGCCCAGCTCAAGGGCGCTGTTTGTCTGCTTGCTCCTGTTCTCCAGCAGGAATGTCCGTGTGAGTTAGAGCAAAAGGTCTGAATTCGGGTGAGGGTAAAAGTTAGGGCTTGATTATCTCAGGATTTCTCATTTGTGTTAGAAACACTGCAACCTTGAGTGTGTGTCTGTGCACCCAAGAGAATAGTGTACACTCTAGCTAGGCCTCAGAGATGCAAGTTCCTCAAGGCCAGAACGTTTTGTTCAGATTTCTTTTCTTTCTTTCTTTCTTTTTTTTTTTTGGGGGGGGGGGAACAAGGGCTTCTGTAGTTTACACAATCCAGAACTCATTATCAATCTGAAAATGGCCTTGAATTCCTGATCTTCTTGCCTCCACCTCTGAAAAGTTGGGATGATAGTTGCATTCAGCCACATCTTCCCAGGTAAGGTACCTATCTCACCATGGTAACAGCAGCAGCAATGACTGCATTGTGCAGAACTGTCCTATAGGGCTTCATTGCTAGGTTATCTCATGGAGGCTGCAGCTTGCGGAGCCCAGGAAATACTCGATGGAGGTGAGAGATTGTATTCCCCTTATCACTAAAGACTGATTGTGTTTGATCCTGCACTTGGCCCTTCTCCAAAAATTAATTCATTTCATCCTCACAAAATCCTTCCAAGCAGATTTTTCCTCACAGAAGCAAAGCCAGAGGCTGGGAGAAATGAAGTAGTTTTCCTGAGATCACACGGCCATGGGGCTCAAGCGCATGGATCCCCAAGGACACTTCAGACCCTGTTTCTCAGGGTGCGCTTTCTAGAACATTTGGGGTGCTCGGTACCAATAAGATTCCAGTGCACACTTACACTAACTCCATCAGAGCCTGGGGGTGGGCAAGCCCAGGAACAAGCTCCCCGGTGAGAGTAACTCACTGTGTGCAGGGTTTGTAGACCACCTGTCTGTATCATAATCTTGCTTGTTCCCAGCCTCGCCTCGACTTCCTTGCATGTGTGTTGAATGGATGGATAAAGTAGAACTACCCAGATGAAAGTGCCCAGTGAGCAGCAATGGGTGACTCCAGATGTTGGTGCCAATCCTGGCCCTGCTTGGGCTCCAGAGGTGTCCACAGAGCATGAGAGAGCCCAGGGACAACTTCAGCAGCTCAAGAAAGAGATGGTAACCCAGGGTATGAGTCCAAGGTGGATCAAGATATTAGAAAGGTGGGAGGGGGTGGGAAGAGGTGGACAGTGGCTCTTCCAGGGCCTGGGGCGAGAGCTGAGCTGGCGGCAGCCCCTGGCCAGTTTTCTCGGGTCTCCATGCATTGAATTAGGTTGGCAGCTGAGGGGGAGTCGGGCCACCCCCACCCTCCACTTAGCTACCATTTCAGTTCCCTTTTCTGGGTACAGCCAAGTACTTGAGGCCTGGGTGAGGTTAACCACAGGAAAACCACAAAGAAATGGCTTTGAAGCAGCAAGCCGACAGGGTGGGGAGGGTTCCTCCTCATCCGACCCTGGGGCCAATGAGGAATGGGGGGCAGTGGTAGGGTCACAGGTCAGGGGAGGAGGCACTGTTGGAGAAGAGCTGCCTCTCACCTGGCAGTGTCTGCTCCTCAACTACATACCTCTACAAGGTCCCCTGTCACAGGGCTGAATCACAGAGCCGCTGTGACGAGAGAGTCACGGTCCCTCTCAAAATGTCTTGTCTTCAAATTCAACGGCTTCATGTCATCCTCACCTGGCTGGCAGTAACCCCTCTAGGCTCAGCACACACGACAGAACAAAGCCCTGGAATTCAATCTCCATTATGTCTGTAGCTGATTAATTTCTTATTATTTATTGAACACTTGGGGGGTCCTCATCAGAGAAGGGGAAAACTAACGGAGTTAAAGCTTAACAAACAGCCCCCACCATGGGGGAAAATATCCCCAGAACCAGAGCAGAGGCTCTCAGTGGATAACTGAACCTCTTGGTGAAACTGTCACAATGCTATCAGGTCAGGCTGGGGCCTGGGGACTGACATTTCTAACAAGTTCCCCACAGGTGTGGCTACTTGGAGGCAACCTCCTTTCACAATCTTGATGCCCTGGTTTTTCACAGTTAACAAAACAGGCCCCTCCCATTAGAAACTGAGCTCTTACACATTCTAGAAAAGAGAAGAAGGGGGAGAAAGGGTCCAGGTGATTCTTTATCAGCTGCATAGCCATCCTGTTGATAACTTGGGGAGCAATAGAAACGAACTTAAAAGGAGTAGCAGCTGTCAGGCAGGCATGGTAAATGCTTTTAATCTCAGCACTAGGGACGCAGGTAAAGGCATGGAGAGCTTAGTGAATTTAAGGCCAACCTGATGTTCATAGAAAATTTCCAGGTCAGTCAAGACCAGGTAGTAAAACCCTGTTTCTAAAAAATAATAAAATAAAATAAAATGCATTCACACAGACAGGCACACACCAATAAAAATAATTTAAGAAATTAATCTTTAAAAAGGGAAGGCAGAGCTTCTTGGACGGCCTTACTAGTTCTGCTCAAGTATTTAGGAAGATCCAGGTATCAGGTTGCTCCGTGCAGAGAGGACTCTGCATATCTTTCTCCTCACAGAACAACACAAAGTTTGCAGCAGGCTCCCTAAGCCTACGGAGCTAAGTCAGGCAGAAGGAATTTAAAGACAAGGCTCCCTGAGTCAGATTTTCTGATCTCCCCAAGCTGACCAGTATCACTTTCACATCTTCCAGTCTACAAGTGGGGAGCTCGCAGTAGGGACGCACTAGAACAATGGGGACAGACTTGCTCTGCAGAGAGCCAGATGGTAAATATTGAGACTTTGCCAAACAGTTCCTTTGGAAGCTGCTTCGGTGTGCCACAGCTGCCGGAACGCAGTAAGAGACAATATATAGACAATATATAAGAGACAATATATAGACAATATATAAGAGACAGAATATATGGATGAGTATGACAGTAGTCCAATAAAACTTGAAGAAAATTGGCAAAATTGGGAAGTGGTGTGGATTTGCCTCACAGGCATAGATGTCACTGATGGGGAAAACAAGAGACAGAGATGAGGCTGGAGCCTTTGGCTACTGCCAACTCCAGCGGAGTGTGCTTGGGTTACTCCTGCACGGCTCTTCCGCACCGTCTGTACTGTCTGGGAAGAAACTTGAAGATGCAGCTGAGAGCAGAGCTTGGGAGGAAGTTACCTGAACACCAGGGCTCCATCCCGAAGGCCCAGGGAAATGAAGTCACTGTTAGGTCTCAAGGGACTGTCCCCCCTCCACAGCAACAGGCCATCCTTGGCGGTCGTCTTAAACCTCATGAAGGCATTTGATCTGGCTCCCGACACCCTGGAGGAAATGCACAAGGGAGTCCGTGAAATCAAGCACCAGCATCTGTTTGGAGTCACCCCGGACTTCCCTAAGCAACCAGATGTGGAGATAAACTTCCCTCCCTGCATCTATGCACACCAGGCAAATAGAAGGAGCTCTACCCCTGCTAGTCACGGAGCTCATAAAACATCCCGGGCGCTCAGTGAGCAGCAGTATCTGACCCTGCAAGGGAATACTTTCAGAGGAAGAGACTCTGGCCGGCGTCACAGTCCCAGGCAGGTGGCCTGATGCACCAGACTTTCTCCTTTCCTGCCCCACTACTCAATGTCTCCTGGGAAGCTGCTCCTCATTTCCCAGCAGAAAGTGGGCTTCGCAATTTCTACAAGGCTCAAATCAGTAGCTTCTTTGGGGTCTAATCATGGCAGTGAGAGGCCAGCATGGGCAGCAGAGACCGTCCTTGGGCCTTTCTGGAGGGGAGGGGGAGATGGACAAGGTCGGGGTTCTCAAAGGAGGCGACTTGATGGAGTGGCTGTTGGTCTTGGAAGGGTGACATAACAGATTCCTAGAGGAAATCACAGGAAGCTACGAGGATAGTGGGTGTAGAGCAGATCCCCGGGAAGAGGCTCCTGGGCTCCTATGTGCCTCTCGTTTCCGAAGGCTAGTTTAGAAACTCATCTGGCTAAAATGATCAACATTCCTCTGATGGGGCCTGAGAGGCTCCAGCAAAAGGTGAGGCAGAAGGAAATGTAAGTTAATGTTGCCATTCACAAGACACTACGAGAACCTAAAGCCAAGGCTCTTGGAGTTTAGATGGTCAGATCTTCCCAGGCTGGCCAGTGCCACTTCCATGGCCTTTACGCTGCCGGCGGGGCATATACAGTCGCATCAAGGGACACAGACGAGGCCCATTTTTTCCTTACCCATTCTGGTAAGAAGAGTGGAGAGAAGGCGTTTTTCTTTCCGTTTTCCCATCTGTGGTACCATCACCCTGTCTCCCTCACACCTAGTTCCAGAGTTCTATGATACAGTCAGTAGTGAATACTGGCGGGCTTCCTGTCTAGGCTTGCCGTGGCCTGGTCTAGACAAGAAAGCACCAAGCTTGTCTTCCTCATGCAGGAAGCCCAACAGCCCAGCTACAGGCAATTCAGCCCTGAAAAGTCTCCGAGGGAACCTTCGAGTCTCTGACTCTGATCCCATCTTCCTTGCCCCACTTGGCAATATGGACTGGCATGAACCAGTCAAGCCAATTTCACTTCTCTTATCAATGCTTGAATTAAGAGCAGACATATAACTTACTATCCAATTTACCTAGAGGACTCTGGGGGAAGCTTCCTTCTCTTTATTGAGAAGGAAGTCTTTATTACAGTTCCATAGGTCATTGCCTAATTTGATAATCATCTTATGAGTGTCCTATGAACAGCTAGGGAATTTGCTGAGGGTAACATGACAGACATATAAATGAGATTTGGGGTCTTTGTGGACAGAGCAGATTCTCTGGATTGATCAGCCCAGCTAAAGACTGTACTTACTAGAGTAAGTCTTCTTCCTGTTTAGGACATTTTCAACTGTTTTATGCTACTTGACCCTCTGAAGGCATCAAACTGAAATAGATCATGAACACTTCTATTTGCATAGCTTCACATGGGTGCACACATACATCATACATCAACACACGTGCTCTAGTAGAGGCTTCTGACTGTCTCCTGCTACCACCATGGCACTAGCTCCCCTTCACTGTTGGTGGCCTCTGTAAGCACTGGAGGCTGACCACTTGGACTCCTTACAAAATGCTCTGCCTTGGGGGACTGAATGACCTTCTATGGTAGGGAGGAAAGGACCAAAGAAGGAAGAAAGTATACCTTGGCTGGAAATGCATCTCACTGAAATCCTCATACCAAGGCAATAAGCAGAAGCTGTGGTTTGGAAAGTAAAGCAGGGACTATTTCCTCCCACAATCCCATCCCTCTCAATCCTTCCTAAACAGTCCATCAACTGGGAACCAAAAAATTTATGAGACTATGTGGCCATCCTAATTGAAATCACTATAGTAGTATGATATGCCTATAGTCACCCCAAATGATCCAGAAAAATGATCTTTCAATCAATTTTGCTTCCCCAAACCCTAAATTCTGACCTAAAGCAGGGTGGCTTTAGACTAAAGATTTGTCATCTGGTACTATGAACCCAATCTAAAGGCAAAGGAAAATTCTAGAACAACTTTGCTAATGGTTGAAAGATAGATGAACATTATCACATTATCAATGACACAGCACCAAGGGACAAATTGAAGTTGCCAACAGCAAGCTTGGCTGGATAGAGGGTTCCCTAAGAGCCAACTTCACTCCTTGCCACATAGACAGGCTGCTTGAAATTCTAGCCCATCCCTGCCTCCAGGGACCAGAAGCTGTAACGTGGGCATTTGTATGATGCCTCCTGTCCTTCTGTCATGCTCTTCTCTCCACAGGAGGAAATCTGAGCAATCTCCACTGCACAGGCAGAGCCCCAGGAGCACAGTCAACCTTTGCTCCTGGAGACATGGGTACCGGTCTGGGATGCAGGGGCTGTGAGCTATGTGTCTGGTTGGGAGCAGCTGAGTCCTACAACTGGCTCCAGGCAGATCTGCAGGCTCTGGCACAGAGTAGCACAGAGGTAAGAGCCCCACTAAGGTCATGGGTGGGGGGTATGTCATCACACTCCGGCCGCAGGAGCGTCCAATTCCTTCTGCCTCTCAAACTGGAACACTGGAAACCCCAGGGGCAAGCAAGTCACATTCTTCCAGGCCCTTTGACCAGAAAGCTTTGGAGTGCTTATAACAAATGGGGTTGTTTTGGAAAACTAATGCCTTCAAGTTTAGTTTGTTTGTTTTGTTTTGTTCTTGTTTCTATGTTTATTTCATGTGCCCCACCCCCACCCCCTGTCCGTGGGGAGAATTATTGCCTGGCATGGAAGATAAGGATAAGCTCTGGGAGTGATGCTGAGAAACTGACATCCAGGGAAGGAGCAAGCTGCGGCGTTGGTCCATTACCTCTTGAGGATATCCGTGTTGTCATAGGTCAGGTAACTGCGGCCGATGAACTGCGGGATCTCAATGGCTTCCGTAATCACTGAGACAGAACAGAAAATGGAAGTTATGAGGCATGTGGCCCTCTTGACCTCTCTGCTCATACCCGTGTCAGTAACACGGCTGGAAAGCGAGCCATGGAATGTGGCATTTGACAGCTTGTCAGCCCCTTCCTCTGAACTGAGCAGGCACTGGCAGTGGCCTGGCAGTGGTTTCTGCCCTCTCTCCCTTCCCTGGGGGCTGGCGGTCACTGTCACTGGCCTCCTCGGCACTGCTGCGAAGGCGTTGCAATGTGCTGAAACTTGAACTGTCCCCAGCGCTTCTTGGAAGCTGGAGGAGAGCCTGAGCCATGTGGAGAGCAGCTGGGGATAACCCCAGAGCTTTGCCAAGGGAGGCAGAGAAAGTCATCCCCAAACAAAGTCCAGTGGGGTTCTTTATTTAGGGATCATCTACGGAACTCCTACAGCTCTGGTGAAAGACTAGGGAGTGCAGTGTTTGAGCTTTGAGTCTTTGCTCAGACACATGCAATTGTACAAAGCTCTCACCTTGAATTCATGGAGAATCACAAAGAGAGGACAGGCCTGGCTATTCCCAGAGAGACAGAAAGGGCCCAGGGCTGGCCCACGCTCCCCAGCTAAGACTATAGCAGACCCTGAACCAGACCAGCCGCCTCATTCTGGCTCCTGCCCACCCCTTACTTTCCAGTATTTTAGAAGTGAGTTTCCTTCCTCCCGATTTCTCATCACTTGGTTTCCCTGAGGAATCACCCTTTCGTACACATCAAAAGGACAGGCGTGTGTGGTGTGTGGTGTCACAGGCTGGGATGTGTGGAGGGGATTTCTGGGAGAAATAACCACGCCACCTTCTTCCTCTTTGGAAAGACACAGAAGTAACAGCTTAACAAAACCAAGGTAGAACACATCTCAAATTAAAAAACAACAACAACAAAACAAACCAACCCCCCCAAAAAAAGTGTGTAAAACGAGAGAATGACTAGCCAATGAAACAATGACAGTTTCAAGAAGACATATGGTTGATATGAAGAAGACGTGGTGTAAAGACTCCAAACCCAGGGAAGAAAATGTATCATTTGATGCTGTGGACAAGGGGAGAGTTTAAATTTGACTTTTAAACACAGAAAAGAGAATGAGAGAGAAAGGTTAGTGGATAGACAGCCTCTGGGCCAGGAAACAGAGGGAGGAGGGGACACAGGAACCGTGAAAGCTAAAGAAGGGAAGCAAAAAGGGGAGCAGAGGTGATGGGGTGAAGGGAGAGTACAAGGTGGAGGAAGGGGAAGAGGAGGAAGAAGAGGAGGGGCAGGGAGCTCTTGGTAGAGGGACCAGACAGTGGTTTCTTGAACTGTGTGCTGGAAAGGAAGTGGAAGGCAAGCACCCAGCTGACTGGCATTGGACCAGGGCCCAGCTGACTGGCATAAGAGCCTGGCCTTGGCCTAAACATAACCAAGAAGGCCCCAGTGGGCTCTGCTTACTCCAGGGTGAGAGGCACAGCTCGGCCCCATCATTGCTGTTGTTGGCCCCACTTGTGGGCCAATGTCCAACAGCCATCCTTCCCTTTGGGCTCCTTCAAATGGTTATAACGTGTTTGTCACAAGTCAGCTCTGCAAACAGAGCCTCAGAAGGTGCCTGTCTCTGGAAGCTAAGTCCAGCTGGCTGCCAGCTAGCCCCCTTGCCCCCCCCCCCCCCAGTTTAGCACTCTCCAGGAAATTAGGAGAAAGCCAGCATGGGGGTCCACTCCGGAAGGCAGATCCCTGGTAGCTTGGCTGGTGTGTCTGATGCCCGCCCCATCTCCCTTCTGCCTGCAGTTGGCTGCGCTGAGCTCTTGGCCTGGCCCAAGCTGGCAGGCTGTGGCAGGGGCCCAGGCGGTTCGGTCTCTCCCAGGACTTACTGTACTTACTATTGAGGCAGTAGTTCCCACACTCTGCCAGGTGCCAGCGTGCAAAAGAAAGGGAGAGTCAGCACTCAGAGACATTTCACTCTACAGGGATCACTGGGAACCAGATCTGTCCATTTCACAAAGACCTTTTGTGGATCCAGAACAGAATGGAGGCTAGGCTGCTCTAAGAGCCCCTGGAAGTTTCTTCAGGGCGTGATTAGTGATGTCCCCCTCCCCATCACGCTGAGCTTATTGCAGTTGAGGGTTGCAGAGACCTAAGGATACATTTATCATAAGCTCCCAAGATTCCGCTGTCAACCCACCCTCCTACTACCCCTGGAAAAATGGCTCGCTGCTTGATGCTGGTCTTTAGTTTCAGGCTGCATGTAATCAAGGAACAATAAGCCAACCAGCCACAAGTTCGCCCACTGGCCTTTGCAGGAGCCTGTGACCAAGCTTTCTCGTGATTAACGACGGGCCAGGCATTCTCCAGAAACCACACCATCTCGTACCAGGACAATGCCCTCATTTACTCAGCGCATGCGGGCGTGCAGGTAAAAAGCTGTTCCATTCAAAAACACCAGCTCTAGAAGTGACCATCGAGCCCGTTTCCCAACCTTCGTGGTTTAAGTTTTAATAAAAGTTTATATTTTAACCTAACCTTTAGACCTGGCCTTTCCTGTGTTCTTTCTTTTGTGGCAATGGCCTGATTTGTGCATTAATGAAAATGTCCTGGCATTCCCTCACACCTATGTGCTAAAGCATATGCCACCAGGTGGTGCCAAAACTGTCAACAAAGGGTAGCGTTCCACGAGCAAGTTTCACCCCCCCCCAGAGAATCTCCCAACTGAGATATTTAGAGTTTTTGAAAAAGAGTTGAAAGAACAATTCTCTTTTGCAAACACACTCATGTGCAGTTAGACAGAGAGGACAGTGAGGGTGCCATAGTCCCACTGTCTCAACATCCAGGAGGCTAGTAGGCAGCACTACTTCTAGGTACACCTCAGGGCCAGGGAACAATCAGACTGGTCAACTGGTCAACCATCAGGGCAGAATACACCCTTCCAGAATACACCACTTGGTCCATAATTCTTTGGTGTACAGGCTGAGCAATTCAATCCCCATAAACTCTGAAGCTTTTTGAATGCCGACACCTGGAAAATCCCACATTCAATGTTGTGTCATGGGTCTCATTCAAAAGGTGGGCGTGCTAAAAATGCTCCAGAAGATTGCTTCTGGGTTCCACTGAAAAGATACTTATCAGAAACACAAATAAACCTCATATTTAGATTTGAGTGCCATTGTCAAGATATCTCTTCATGTATATAGATGTATTCCAGACACTAAAAAAGTCTCTAATTGGAAATGTTTTTTTTTTTTTTTTGATCCCAAGCACTTTGGATAGGTCTATGCAACCTAATTTAGTAGCTACAATATATAGAAACAAATAAAACCTTTATTTTATTTATCTATCCAACTAGGCCTGCAACTAACTAAAGATCAGTGTACCCCAGACACTCCCATTTTCTCAGTGTTTAATGAGGAACCATCCTATAAAAAAAAAATTCCCAGCAATATGCATGACTTGCCTGTTTTAGTAACAAGTGTTTGTGAATGGTCTTTAAAAAGTGGGGTTTACATCTACTGAAGCAGTTTTTCTTCCACAATGACACAAATAAACAAAAAGATTTGTTTAATCACCCAAATCAGCTCTAGCAAAGTACGAATTTGCTAAGATCAGCATAAAACATCCAAATGCCAAACTTGTGCTAGAACAGCTTTGCTCAGACAAAAGAGAAGTCCAAAGAACCTAGCCTTGCTCAGGAATGTTATGCCTCAGGCTCTGGCCCCGCCTCCAAGGTTGTTGGCTTTGAGGTGTGGCGAACAGCCCACTTGCTATGGAGAAATGGCTCCATCTAGTGGCCTGCCTGATTCTGCACCACCTGTGTCCCAGCCGTGCGCTAGAGAACCCCAAGAAAAACAACTGTGTCCTGTGTTCACCCCTGAGGCACCCCCAAGGCACTTCAGATATAGTAAAGGCTCTGAGAAGTTCCGGTGAAGAGAGAGCTGTGTGAAGTGAGGTTCCCCTAAAAAACAAACAGCACCCGTCCCCAAACACCTCCATAAAAGATTCTACAAGGCTAACGACAGATCAAAACTTTTGACCGTGGGCAACTGAAATATTGCAAATTCAGAGCCAAATTGTCTTGTGCTATCTTTAGCCTCCTTAATTGCCACCCATTGTCTACCCTCTGACTGACCCAAAGTCTTCGTGGGACTGTCCCATGAAATCTTGGATGCATTAACAAAGCGCTAGCTTCCAGCAAGCCAGAAGCTGAGGGCGTCATCAGACCACATCTGAGACCTATAGCATGAATTTTCCTGCTTTCCCGCAACCCATCCACCTATCTGATGACCCCACCAATGAATTTTCACAACACCTCAATGAATCACCTTTTGCTTCCTATCACTATAAACACCCCCAGGAAACCGTTGCAATGGGGTGTTGGAGGCTACCTGAATTTGTATTCCAGGCCATCTGAATTCATGAGTAATGCCATTCAGACTTGGCTCCAGCATAAACTATTTCTCATTCCTTTTGAGACAAGAGCTGTGTTGAATTAATAGCGGTTAACTGTTTAACTCAGATTTATCCAAGTTTATCTGACCACAGATCCCAGCTCCCGTCTGGTCCGTGTGAAAGCATGTGTTTGTGAGTGTTGGGAGGTTGTGGAGGAGGAACGGCATGAACAAACCAGTCACTGATAGACCTGGAAAACCCTTTCCATGCAGTTTGAAAGGCTGAACTCTAAAATTCTGACAGCTTGCTTCTACACAGGGACGTGGAGGGACTGAGAACCTTGGTGGTAAAGATTGATGAGAACTCAGAAAAGAGGAAAGAAAGGCCCATGATGGAAACAGTGTCCTGGGGGTTAGCCTTGCTGACATCCCTCTTGAGATGAGAAAGGTTCTCACTATGACAGTGTTGCATGAGGTGCTACAGTTTGGTGGGGAAAGATTTCTGAAACAGAGAGTCTTCGGATCCGTGGTGAAGAGACCCGTGAAGTCTACACCCATGCTTTTGTTGATGCCAGAAGTGATGTCTGGAGCAGAGCTTCATGTTCCTCTAGTTCCTGTAGCTTCATGGAGTCTGAGGTTGACACTAGGGGTCTTGATTCTGTGTAACTCCAGATGCTTTAGAGGACCTGGGCCCTTGGATCCTCTCAGAGGCTATGTGGCGCTGCCCTCTCCCACCTCACAGGGAGGACAAAAAGTATACCTGCTGCATGCATGCATGCATGCATGTGTGTGTGTATGTGTGTTGTGTAAGCATGCGTGTGTACGTGTGTGTACATCTGTGTGTGGGTGCATGTGTGTGTGTGTGCGCGTGCGCGCGCGCGCGCGCGCACACTCCCCATGGTAGTCTGCAGACCTGCACAGGTTTGGAATCTTTTTCACCCCATCTTCCTACAACATCGAAAGGCGAGGAGAAGTGTCAGATGTCCCGACTACAGCCCTGAGGGCTATAGAGGAAGCAGAGGAATGATCTGGAAAATCATCTTCCTTTTGGAGGAAGTGCTCTTTGAGTGCCTTACGTGAGATCTGGTTCTGGAAATTCATGCTATAGGCCGCTCCTTGCTTAAACTAACAACGAAAATAGTGAAACCAGAGGGCGTACAGGCAACCACAGTGCTTGGGGAGCTGAGGCAGGAGGGTCAGCAATTCAGGGTCATCATAGGCTACATAGTGAGCACCAGGCCAGCCTGGTGCTGAGCTACACATCAAGACCAGGCCTAAGAAATTCATAGGCAACAACAAAAACAGCAACAAAACCAAACTAGTTAAGCTTCTGTGGAGAGTGTTTAGGACAGGTTCTTGTTTGGAAGTTTAGTTTTATTATGAAGCCGGAAAAGTTTCCAGCTGCTATATGTAGAAGAATCACCTAGCTAAATGTCACGGGCTTCTCCCTGACAACTGCAGAGGGTTTCTAAGCTTTGAAGCTTTGGATCTGGCCCAGTTCACAGTGTCTTCCTTCTCTAAGGAATGTGACCACTGCCTATCTTCCTTCCCTTTCTTTCCAACCCAATGGAGAAGTTACCCAATGTCACAGCAGCGCTGCCAGCCACCAGGCCACCACCCACAGTTACATGCCTACTGCAACCTGAAGAAACTGTCACAGAGCCCCTTTAGCCCTCCCAGGCCATTGTCACGGGAGTGAAGATACGGGCTGGAGGCAGTCCCTCCCGTATACTTTTGTATACTTTGTGAATGCTTTGCTGGCATTCACAAAGCTCCCATTTCCTAAGCAGAATTTTCATTTCATAGTTGGAGAGGACACTAGAGTAACACGCGGGGCAGATGAGGGTTCCCCAGCTTCTAGCCCGCTTTGCCGGGAAAGAGCCATGGCCCACTCCCTCAGATCTTGCAGGAGCCCAGGCTCTGGCTGAGGTCTGTCCTGCTGTGCTGGTGAGGTCTGTTTCTCACTGGCCATGAGCCTGGAGTCTCAGAGCCACTATGGGGGCACATTATACCTGATCCAGACAACGTCTGTTATCAGGACACAGGCTAACAAGAGCAGAACCGGCCCTTCCCTTGTTATCACTCCAAAGCTGAGCGCTCACATAAGCCCAGACCTTATAGTCAGACTATTAGTGTCAGAAGCAGGCTTGACAAGTCTATTGTGATCCTCCAGACCTAGGGTCAACACTGAAAAATAAGCCCCCAATTCAGGTTGTGTTCTTCTGTGTGTGTAAGTTTATGCACACATAGTACATACCTCTCTAAGAGTTCATGCTCATGTGTGTACACATGTCTGTATTTGTATGTGGAAGACAGCAGTTGAAATTAGGTGTCTTTCTCAGTCATTCGCAACCTTAATTAATTAATTAATTTTTTATTTTTGAGGCAGGATCTCTCCCTGAAGCTGGAGCTCATCAGTTCCTCAAGACTAGCCGGCTATTAAGCCTCAGTAGTTTCCTGTCCTCACGTTCTAAGTCCTAGAATTTTAACGCACGTGGTGTCATACCAGGCTTTTTCCATGGGTGCTGGGGAGCTGAACTCAGGTCTTTATGTTTACAAAGCAAGTCCTTTACCAACTGAGCCATCTGCCCTGACTCCAAACCCAGTTTTCTAAAGGAACAGGCCACTCCTGAAGTAGACACTTCTTCAAATATTATTCCTCAGAATGAGAGTCTGACATTCAGAAAGTTACTCTTATTTGCTTAAAAAAAAAAAAAAAAAGTTTGACGGCGTGCCCTGTCAGACAGACTCCTGAAGTCACTTAAAGGTGAGAAACGCTACTAAGCTGTTTAACTGGAAAATTAGCACCTTTTATATTCTCCACAGCTGCTGTAAATAATTCCTTGATGTACCAATGTATGAAATATCTACCTGTAAAGTTTAGAGTTTTCTTCTTTTGGTGGAAATCAGGCACCTGTGGCGGTGAATCACGAGAAAGCACGCACAGAGCTTTCACAGGTTCATCGACTTATCTCTTTCAGGCCTGTTTGCTTCAGTCAATAACAGCTCTAGGGCAGGTGGGCCATTCTGACTAGAAATGAGATGGTCTGTGTGTTCTAGAATACGGGCACCTATGGACAGGTACAGACCACTACCAGATGCCAAGACCAAGGCTTCTGCTTCCCTTGAGTAGGTAGAGGCAGGGTCAAGCAGGGTCTGTAGTTTGTGGCCCTTCCAACCTTTCAGACAGAGCCGGTCATGGGAGTTCATAGCACCCGCTAGGGAGCTGATTTCTCTCATCAGTGATAACAGTGGCTAGTATCAGGGTGACAATCAGCAGGAAGCCTTCGCGATGTTTCTACACATTGCCTCATATAGTCAGTACTGCAGTCCCTGGTGAATGAAAACATTTGGGACCCAGACGGGTTCAATAGCATGGGATAGAGCACTGGACAAAAGGTTGTGCATACTGTAGCTTGGAGAACTAATACATTGTTCATATTTTTCTACCTTTAAGCAGCATTTCTCTTTACAGCATCCAAATGTTTCTCAGGACATAAGCAAAGACACTCCTTGGCCAGGATGCTCTTGGAGTAGCTCAAAAGCATAAATCCTTAAGTCTTTGCTGTGTTCAGGTTAACCTTTTGGAAAAGAGCCTACGAGGGGACTCTTAGGGAAGGGTCAGGGTAGGCATTGGACAGGCCCTTTACCTACTCTTACAGAGTTCCTTTAGGACTGAAATCTTCTTAAGCAATTATAGTAGCTTATATGATGTAATAGTTACCTGATACGTTGCTGAAGTTGCTGATCAAAATGACCAGGACCTGTATTGTCAATTCTCCCTTCGAGAGTACCGCTCTCCCCATACCTGGTGGCACGGGACTGTGATGCCAGCATCTTGGGAGGTTGAGGCAGTAGATTGTAAATTCAAGGCCTATCTGGACTCTAGATGAGCTTAAGACTAGCCTGGGCAAGTTAGTGAGACATTCTTTCAAAATCAAAAACTACAGAAAGGGCTGGACAATGCATTTCAGCGACAGAGCGCTTGCCGAATGTGTGTGAGGTTCTGGCTTCATGGCTCAGTACTGTGGGGAGAAAAGAAACTAGAGCGGTCCCCGTAATTCAGTTTGTGGCCTCCATGCCCTCCAGGCAGCCACATTAAGACCCAAATGTACCTTTCTGGCAGTTCACGTCCTCGAAGCCCAGGGAACAGTCACATTCATAGCCTTCCTTCTTGGGCCGACAGCTGCCCCAGTTGGCACAGGGGTTTCTCACACAGGGGTGGGCTGCATTCTCCACGTTCACTCCAGATGTGAAATCGTGCTTCATGTGGATGGGCCAGTCATTCAGGATGATCTTGGGATACAGAAACAGAGAGACATCAAGACTTGGGAAAACAAACTCGCTGCTTACCAGGCCGAGCTACACGTAATGACGGAGGTTAGCCAAAGGAAGAAAATCTCCATGCTAATCCGGCGGTCCTTCAGATAAAGGGGAACAGAAGGGTTGAGTTCTGCACCTGGGGGAAACCACAGACGGGAGCCCTCTCTGGTGATCAGTGACCTCAGAAATGGCAGCATTTCACTCTGCAGGGACACTTCTTAAGGCAGCTCAGGAAATTCCTGAAACTGACCAGATTTACTAGGGCTCTTCCTTGGAAGAGTATATAAACAGCGAAGCCTGCTGAGGGACAGACAAGCCAAGCTACAAAGAAGATTCTCAGGCAGATCTTCCTGGGACATGTGTAGGCCTAGCAGCCTGAAAAAAGACAGAGACCAGACAGACTACCTAGAAGATCTGACTGAGAGTCTCTGGGAAAGAAAATTCCAGCCTGTTGCGCCACCTGTAGGTGGTGCTATGTACTGCAGGTTTCTTCTTACATTTGTGAGTTGTCACCCATGGTGGTGGGCTTTGGTGATGCAGTTGTTTTTGAAGGACTTCTGCGGCTGTAAGTGACCTCTCACCCATATTCCTGTAAGCCAGCTTCCTCGTATACTTCTCCATATGCTGTGCGATGTCACCTACATCAGAACCCAGGCCTCTCCGGCTCTTCCACTGCCCTTGTCTGTCTTCTTCAACATTTCTGAGTTCCCTCCCTCTCCACACCTCTACAGAATGCAGCAAAGCTCAGAGTTCCCCTCTGCTCCACTGCGCATACACTTCCCGAGGCGGGGAGCCCTTTTCCATCTTTCCTGGCAGATGGCTCTAGGCAAAGTAATAACATATTTCTGGAGAACGCTGGGGAATGCTACTGCGTGACTTCCCTCCTCCTAACTCTTGAGCCCTTAACTGAGCATGTAGAATGCCCATGTCCATGGAGCCGCTGCTGCTAGCTTTGCAACACCAAGAGACAGAAGTACCCTGGGGACCCCCGTTGCCTGGGGTGCTGCCTAGCAGAGATGCTTCCTACTAGAAATCTGCCTCCTTTTCCAAAGATGTACCTCACTCTTGAAGAGCGTTGCAAGGTTGGAAGGAAACCTCTCCAGGTTCTGAATCTGAGAAGCCACTAGCGAGAACCCTGACCCTTCCCTAATCTCCCCCTTTCATGCTGCAGGTGAAAATCTAGCCGTATGTGCTCCAGCCAATACAAACCCGGCGCTTGTCTCCCGCTGGCTGTGGCACAACCACAGCGCCTCACTCACAGGGGAAAAAAGGCGGTCTCCTAGAGGGCAGGGGAGAAGGGCTGTGTGCCCGGTGATCCAGGGGAAAAGCTGGAGAAGGAAGGGCGTGTGGGTGAGATTTTTCCTATCTCAAAACTGTGCAAATGTGACCAGTGCCTCCTGTGGGGAACCAAAGCCTGATTCAAGATGCCAGTGATATTGTAGGGCAGCACCAAAAGGGCGTGTGAGCGCAGGAAGATGCTGGCTGGGCTTTCCCTGAACCAGCGCTGAGACGTAAGGACACATGCCAGAGGCCTCCCAGAGCACAATCTTCAGAATCCGGTAGGACTTTCTTATCTTTTATTCTCACGCTTTGTCATGGGTCCTGACTCGGTCCTCAGGTCACCCCTCATCACAAAAGGGAAACATGATGAGGCTAACCAAGGTTTAAAACTCACTTTTTTTTTCAGTGCTGGCCACCCTGCAAGTCTGGGCTCTGAGTCAGTCAGCATTTCTGTAGTCAAAAGAATACATCCGTGGGGTCTTGGGCATCCCCAAGAGAAGGAATAGGAGGATATATGGGATTTGGGTCAGCTTCTTCCACTACCAAACTATTCTTTCTTTTGTCTTCAGCATTCTGGAGAATGTCCCTGGAATCTCAGAGCTCCATTGTATGGCTGATGAGCAGCAACTGCTCATGGGTGGGTGGGAATAGCAGTTGGCTCTCGCGTGGATGAACTACACAGTAACTCAGAGAACGGCCTAAGCTGAATTCGTCCCGATAGCCCTAGAAAAGTTGGGGAAATTCTGCTGAAAAAAGAAAAAAGTCACCTTGACTTCTTAGAATCTCTTTGTACTGAACGGAAACCCAGGGACAGGTATGTGGAAAACTAGATCGGACGTATTAAACAATAAAACTGTAACCATTTTGGCATTTTCTCAAACCGTCTTTCTGAGGCACAGCAGATAACGCTGATTTCAGGCCTTAACTCTGTGTACAATAAGAGCGACGAGGAAGTGAAGCTGTACCTTCTGGATGCTGCCACTGAATGCATGAAGGATGCCCGAGTTCTTCTTGACATCATCGTAGTTTGGGACTCCGCCGATAAAAATATCCGTATTGCAATTAATCTGGGTGAAGCCTCCCTGGCAAGGCACAAAAGACAGCGAGTCAGAGACTAACTGTAGGATGGATGGTGACAGCAGAGTCAAGAGCCACCATAGCCACCTGGCTGCACATTGTTTTGTGTGGTATTTGGATGTCAGGAAGTTTCCTAGACGCCTCGGGGCTCAGTTTCACTGTGTGCAGATAGGATCATAATAGAATATCTGAATTCCAGGTGCATCACAATGCATGCATAGACCACATCACGGTCCACGGATGTGCAGTGCAACTTTGAGGAGCAGTACTGCACCCTCAGGAAAACTGCTGCCAATTGGTAGAGCTCAGATTGGGACCATGGAGCAGAGAAGTAATGACCCTCTCTGGACAGAAGAGTTCAGAACTTGGCATTGGGTCTCTATACCTTTTCTTCTCTCTCCTTCCTTCAGTTTGGCTCCTAATTTGTAGCTGTACTATGCCTGGATGAAAACTAACCGTTTGTTATAAAAAGATGATGTTCTGGAGTTGTGGGTAATGGTCTAGCCTATTCTGAAGCCGAGGATTCTCTTTAGTTAGACTTTGTGCAGAGTTAAATACAGTATCAGTGTAGGGCCTGCCCGGGTCTACCCCTGTTCCTGGGGTTCATCTTGAGGACAGTTTCTGGTCAGCCAGCTAAAACATTCTGTTTGTTCCTGCCCCACCTGGCCTGACCAGTGAGCTAAGCCCCAGCCCCTTACAGTTCTTAATTCAATGCAAGGTCACAAAGGAAGCACAGAGACTCTTGGGAATCCTTGTAGCCTGAGAGGAAATTTGTTACAGCTGAAGTTAGCATCACATACTCACGAGTATTTCTCCCTTGTCTTTGACCCCAGAGTTGAGATGAGTTATCAGAGGAAAGAAAGAAGGCTGTGGAGTCAACAGCAGACTGTTCTTCAAGTCAAACTCAAGGCTCTGAAAGGACTTTGAGTCCCACTGTATCCAATGAATGGGGTGAGATTGGCTTCATTTTGGCTTTGGAACAACCATCTCTCCTGCTGGAGAGGCAAGGCTCAACTCTCACACCCAAGGAAGGGAGAAGGTAGCCTATCGTTTTATGCAAATTGCCCGCTTTAAAAATGTTTTTCTTTGAATGTGAACTTGGAAATAACATCAACCACATTGGAAATTCTGTGTCCTTGAGTCTATAGTAGCACAGTATTAAATAAGGAGACGGGCAAGGGAAGCGTCATAAACCTGACTGTGTGCGGGACACAGCTGTGATTTGCTTCTGTGATTCTCCTAACTCTCCTAATGACTCTCTGATGTGTGCTATCATCGTCAGGATTGTCTCCATTGATATGAGGATAACGGCGCCAATGAGAAAAACATAAGCTCAGCAGTCACATGGCCAGCCTGAGCTCACCGCACTGGTGAGCGGTGGAGCTGGATTTGGAAGCTCAGGAGTCTTTTATCTGTAGCATGCTCTTGTCGACACTGCTGGGTCTGTGATCTCAGTCACCACACCATATAGATGGCGAGGACAGCGGCAGAGGCGGAGCGGGGTATGTGTGAAAGGAGAGTTCTTAAAAGTGCCCTGGTTGCTAATTATTAAAAAAAGTATAACTCACAGGTTTGTAACAAACCTGTGGGGCCAGCACTATTGTCATTCCCGTTTATGGTGGCAGAATAGAACTGTAACTGTCTAATGGAGAGCTGGGATTTCAGCCTCAGACTAGAATCTCTATACTCAGATGCTACATGATGTTGCTTTAAGAAAAAACATTTGTTCATGTTTGTGTGTGTGTGTGTTTACCTACAAGATATACTACAGCATATGTGTCAAGGTCAGAGGACAATTTGCAGGAGCTAATTCTCTCCTTCTGCTCTGTGGATTCTGGGAATCAAACAGCTCACCAGCCTTGGTGACAAGTACTTTAACCCACTGAGCCACTTAGCAGCCCCTTTCATGCTACTTTACCAATGTCAATGGAAAACAATGGTCTGTCCAGGTCAACCACCGAGAGAGACAAGTGTGTCCTTACCTCTGCCATCCCCTCCACTACCTTCTGCTCGTCCACCTGTAAGATCCCATTCTTGGCTGTGCGAGACACACGTAGCTCGTGCCATTGGCCAAGGGTGAGGGGCTTCTCGCTCCTGTCAAAGAAAGATGTGATGCTGACATTCTGTGTGCACTTGACGAAATGAGGAAACCCGGCTGAGTGATACAGTACTGTTTGAGATGTTTCTATGAGGGCTTTATGAGAGAGAAGCCTTTGAATCGATGAACTGAGCAAAGAGACAGCCTTCACCAATGCACGGGGACATTATCTAATCTGTGGTGGGTTTGAGCAGAATGAAAAGACAGGAAAAGTGGGACTCTCTCCCTTTGCTGGAGCTTGGGCATCCACCTCATCCTGCCCTTGGACCACAGCACCGCTCCTGGTTCGTGAGACGTGGCTCAGAACTTGTATCACGGGTGTCCTGGCTCCTGGCCCTTTGGACTCAGACTGACTTGTGCCATGGATTCACCTGTAGGCCTGGGCAGAACTACATCATAGACATTTTTCTTGGCTTCTAGCCTCCCTGAAGAAAACTGTGGATTGCCTCAGTCCCATAATCCTAAGAGATAATCTCACCAGACAAATATTTCCCTGTGTTTCTGTTTCCCCATTGGTTCTGTGTAGCTGGTTTCTGTCCTGCCTGCCAGTTCCTGTAGTTGTTTCTAAATAATCACTCCAAAGGTTTAATATTAATTATAATTGTTTGGCCAATAGTTCAGGCTTATTACTGGCTATCTCTTGCATTTAAATTAACCCATTCTATTAATTTGAGTATCACCACATGGTCCATGGCTTACTCATAATGCTCTGACCTCTTAATCCTTGGGCAGCTGCTGGTATCTCTCCTGACCCCACCTTCTTTCTCCCTGTATTCAGTTGGACTTTCCCACCTAGTTATATTCTGCCCTGCCATAGGCCAAAGTAGCCTTATTCATCAACCAATAAAAGCAACACAATTCTCAGTGTACAGAAGGACATCCCACATCAGTTCTGTCTCTCTGGAGACTCCTAACGAATAGAGATGGAAACTGCACGTGAGTCAGCGTGTCATGGGTGTGAGCCACCATTCCATCAGTGCAGCTGTGATGGGACAGATGCCACCCGTAGGCACCCACCTGTATTAGTTACTTTTCAGGCTGCCGTGTTCAAGTTCAAGATGTAACTTGCCAGAGGGAGGGCTCATTTTGGCTTACAGTTACAGAAAAGTATCATCTGACTTCCCTCAGCGAATGACTGTGACGTGGCAGAGTAAGCCAGATCAGCCTTTTCCTTCACAAGTTGTTATAGACCATGGGGTTGTGTCACAGCCATAGAAAGCAAACTAGGGCATGCAGCAAGCATGTTTACCAGCTGATCCACCCTGTGAGTCCCCCTGTCTGGTTTTGAGACACGGTCTCACTCTGTAAATCTGACTGGCCTGGAACTTGTCTGTGTAGACCAGGCTTGCCTCCTACTCACAGAGTTCCACCTGCCTCTGCCTCTTGTATGCTAGGATTACAGCTGTGCACCATCACACTTGGCTCATTTGAAATTTTTCATGATAGAATATTGGTGAAAAAAAAATACTCTGGTTTGAAAATGTCCCCAAAGATCGTGTATCAAAAATATTAATCCCCAATACAACACAGAGAGTTTTAAACTTTGAGAGAAGACTGAGGTAATATGGTCTTTGCCTCACGAGCGGATTAACGTCATGATCACTTGGTATTTCTCATAAAAGATTTCAGTCCTTTCCTTCCTGAATACTCATCCAGATGTGTCCTCATATTTACCTCTCTTCTCCCTTAGGGTGACACCAAAAGGCCCTTACCAGGTGCACATTATTGGCCTTGGATTTCCTAGGCCCCATAAATGGGAGTCGTAAGTTTCTGCTCTTCACAAGCTCTTCCTGTTCCCCATGGTCTATTAGAGCAACACACAAAAGTTCAGGACAAGGAAAAGCAGGGTCTGTGTTCACTGGTGCTCTGACTGGGATTCAGATGACCTTGAAAGTTCAGTTCCTAAGTCAAGGTGAGAGCCCTTGATGCTGAAATGTTCCTGCAGGAGTTTCACAAGTTGCTTTTGAGAGTGAAGTGCGCAGAAGGAATATAATCAATGCATTTCTATTTCTAACTATGTCTAGCTCCTGGCCTTTACTGAACCTCCCAATTACTTTTTGCTCCTGTATCATCTTTAGAAAACGACAGAGAATACCAATGGCATGATTATTAAAGGGTCAGCACCCCCTAATTTGATTCCTCTGCTCAGGCAAATGCTTTTGTGATTTGTCCTTAGCAATTAGAATTTAATCACCTTGGCCAAATCAATATGCAATAAAGAAACAAGCAGGCCTTTTAAAGTGGTCTATTTCCATAATGACTAACCACACACTTGTCATGTTCCTGTCCTGCAGAGGTCACTGGCTGTCAATCCGACACCGTCTTCTGCACGGTTATATTGATCCCAGTCATCGAGAGCTCATTCCGATTGTCTTGATGCTCGACTCAAGCTCATAATGATTTTGACCACAATACCCTTTTCCTAAAATGAAAATGACTTGGCCAATTCCATAATTTCCTGCGCTTCAGGCTCTTACCAAGTTTCCTTAATTAAGTGGGGGATTCTGTGAAATAGTTTTCAAAATAAATAACTCCTCACGAGGCATCTGAAATACTAATAGTGAGCCTGGTCGTCAAGTTGCATGGAATGGAGGTGGGATGGGAGGCCAATGGTGGTTTAATTTCTGGTAAGTCTTGTCTTATTATCACTCAGGAGCCAAGAAATTTTTTCCTCTAATCATCTTCCCTGACAGGTAGGAAAAGGATAACTCACATGTAAAAAAAAAAAAAACCTAAAATACTTCTTATTAAAAATTGGTATAGACATATGAAAATGAAATGTTGGACATCTTAGATCTAGCTGCTAGTGACCCCGAACTGGGATCTGCTACTATAGGGGGGCAGGTGGGAGGGGCTCGTGTTCTGAGCCAGTGTGAGGCATGCCTGTGTCTCCAGATCCTGAGGTCACTCTTTACCCTGAAGGGGTGATTCAAAGTGCAAGGTGATTATCAAGGTGTCTTCCCCTCGAAACCTGACATATACTTCTAAGTGAATTGCTTATGCTGTTTTGCATAATCATATGTAAATTGAATCAATTAAATAACCACAAAAGTTGTCTTGAGATATAGGATGCTTTACATAACCAGAGGGGGAAAAAATGTTTGTCCCTTCCCCAGGGTGGGAGGTGTCAACTGATGCAGAAACTCAGCCACAAGGACAAAAAAAAAAATATATTCCTTTGACTAACAGTTGAAACTTAATAGAGACAGCATTTCCCGTCAGCCGTAAAAAGTGGTCATCAGTTGAGGGCAATGAGTAGTACTAATACCTCCCCCACACACTTCTAAAAATGCCAGGCCAGCAGCATGAACAACCACTGAGGACAGCCGCAATTTCCTTGGAAGTAACAGCAGCCTGAAAGCCTGTGGCAGGGTTTAAGCAAAGTCCCAGGCTCTCTCTCAAAAAAAAAAAAAAAAAAAAAAAAAAAAGAATTAGACAAACATAGCACTGGTGACCTCTGTATTGGATTAGGGCCCCTGGAGCTTGAAGGTTAAAAGTACTGTTAGGAGACGCGTAGTAAGAGGTCTTGCTGTCAAACTGACATCTAAATATTTACGTTCACACCCATAGACCGGAACTACTCTCGACATGAGTCAGGACGACTCCTTTCTGCTGTGTGCAGATGTCAAGGGGAAGAGGCACACCTGGACAAAGGGTCGAGACTAAGATACTGAGTGATTAGCCTAGGCAGGACAACTCCATCATTCCCACCCCGTCTCATCCACCCCTGCCACCAAGGCTCAGGGGTCAGTGAAGAAGAGGAGGCAGAAAGAATGGAAGAGCCAGACGCTGGGGAGGACTGCTACAGTACGTTGTCTCTGGACTTCACGGGGCCGTGACAAGTGTCAGCTCACAGAAGCTCTTGTTACCTGCACAAGATCATGCCAGCAAAATCTGGGCAAGATGTGGAGGCTTAGCTCCAACTCTCAAGCCTTATTGAGGAGCTCTTGGCAGTTGGCAGTTGCTGGGAGAGGGAGAATCATTCCTTTTGTAGGGTGTGGCCACTGATAGGATTCCCAGGACCCAGAAGATGGTCCCACACCCACAAATATATACGTAGCTCTAACTGGACTTAGTGAGTTATTTAAAAAAAAAAAAGATAGGATGTTGAGCAGGAAATGTGTTAGGAAAAACTGAAAGTGTAAATAGAAAAATAGATATGGTTATATTTCAATCATTATATGCATAGAATTCTCAAGAATAAAGAAAAATAAATTCATATTTTAAAAAAAAGCACAAATAATTAATTTTTCATATAGGGAGACATGAACAAGAAAAACATTTCCATCTTCCAAACAAGTCTCCAACGGTCTCCAAAGGCCATGGAACTGCTGTAGAGGAACAAGGGATCTTTGAAGGGACTGAATAGTTCAGACTAGACAGCAAGATGAAAGTTCCGGCTGCTCCAGCCGGTTTGGCAAGGAGGATCAGATGCTTTAGAAGTCTCCTCCACTGCCACACTGCTGAAACCCTCAATCTATGTCCTGCGCCAGCATCTGCGGAGGAGCCGCGGTTAGGTTCCTGCCTAGGACACCGGCAAGGAAATAATTCAAGAGCAAAGCTGCAATTTGATCTTTCTGGTGTACACGCACGCGCGATGCATCATGTGTGCACATGTGTGTGTGTGTGTGTGGATGCCCACACACGTGTACACTGAGGCCAGGGTTGATGTCAGATGTGCTTCTCAAGTGCTGTCTACCTTGATTTTGGAGACACACAGAGTCTACTGATTCGGCTAGAACGGCTGGCCAGTGAGCTCTGAGGGTCCCCTGTTTGCTCCCGAGTGTTGAACTTCAGATGTATGCCATTGCTCCTGGCTTTTGACATGAGTGCCGGGGATCTGACCTCAGGTTCCCATTCCGCTGCCACAAGCACTTTAATGACCGCATCATCTCTCTCCAGCCCCTATGAATACTTTTTCAGAGTCAGCATTTATTCGCTGAGTGCCCAGCATACGCTGCTCTGTGTAAGGTGAGGATTGGTTATAGTTCTCTGAGTGGCTGGCTACTGACGGCACTGCATGTCCTCGGGGGGGAAATGGAGGCAGACTGCTCCCACAGAAAGCAAGCCTATTTTCCACAATCTGAAGTTGGGAATTAATACGTGTTTGATAGGTACTTGGTGAAAGGAAGGAAGGAGGAAGGGAAAAAGGGAGGAAGGGAGGGAGTGAAAGGGACGGGGAGAGGGAGAGGGAGAAGGCAAGGGAGAGAGAGAGAGAAAGAGAGAGAGAGAGAATGAGTATACAGTCTACAGGTGGTCTGGCATAGTCATAAGCAGGGCAGGCTCCCATGGACCACAGATGCTGGCAAAGAGAAAACAGGAAGAGAGTGGGTGGGTAGCAATTTAGTGGTCATAGTGGTGGTGGCTGTGGTTCTGGAGAGGAGGAAGTTGCACAAGACTTTGGCCCTCACCTGAGAACTCCAGTCCCTGACCCGCAGTCGAAGCGGAATTCCACGTGGCCCCCAACCATATTGATGGACAGGAAGTCCCTGCTGCCCGTGTCGTAGCTGTACAGGAGGACACCATCTGCTGAGTCGGGCTGAAATGTGATCTCGAACTCCGTGAAAGAAAGGTAATGCTGGGGCCCCAGGGGCCAGGGTGTGGTGGCGTAGGACCTCAGCGACTCTCTGAACTGAGGGATGCTCAGGGAAAATGCTGAAGAGACAAGCAAAGTGTTAAGAGATGGAGGTGTGGCTGAGACCAGCTAGCTAACTTCATGGGGGCTGCACTGTTTTCTTCCTGGGCAGGGACTTGCCTCCATCTCCCAGTTGCCCTGTGGGTAGTAGGTGGGGTGGCTGAGTTATGACAGTGGAGTATGGTGGGGGTGTAGTCTGGTCCCTAAAACTTCCTTCCTTCCCTGTGCTTATCTCTTCTAGATAAAAGATTCTGAGGGGGTGGAGACTCTGCTCCCTGTATGACATCATGGAGCAGAACAACCTCTAGCACTAATGACCTGAGATGACAACAGGAGAGCAAGAATCAGCCCCTCTGATGTGAGGTTAAAGAAACCAGAGATGTCCCTGACCAGTCCTGGCTCAGCTACACTCATCCTCAGATTTGAGATTTGAGGAGAAGGTGAAAATACTTTCTTCTGTGTAGTATCTAGTTTCAAACCTGAGTCGTTCATAGATAAATTTGACTGCTTTTGTAATCTTAGCTCCAATTTTATTCCCTTTTGTTTTTAACTTTTGATTTCTGGAAAAATTAATGCAAGTTCAATCCTTCATGTCTTTTCTTCATCAAAACCTTTAAAACTCCCAGTTATTATTTCTGAATGTTTGTAGGTCCATATTGTATGTGGTTGTGCCTCACATGTATACATAGAGACACGTCTGCATACATGTGTGTATACATGGTATGGTATAGAAAGATGGGCTAAATCATCAGGTCAGAGGAGAGAAGTAAAAACAGTTGTTCTATCATGTTATTGATTTGTGCATATACTTTGCCAATATTTTCTTGAAAATTGTCAGATATTATAAAGAACATGAGATTTTAGCACACTTAGGTCAGTCTTAAATAAAGCACACCAGTGCAGGCTTCCCAGGTGCCACAGAGAGGCCAGAGGAGCCAGCTCATGCTTAGCTTATTAAAAGGAACATATCTGTGGCTGGTTTAAATCTCTGGCCCTCTGAGAGTCTCCCATCCCTCCCAGCAAAGCAACCTGGATCCCTTAAGAATATGCAGGACTTGGCTGACTGGGCACTGATGGAAAGTTACATCCACTTGCATCAACACAGCCAGCCCCGCCCCCATCTCACCATCTTCACAGTGTCGACCTCTGAACCCCAGCGGACAGAGGCAGATGTAAGAGTCGGCTTTGATGGCTGCACAGGTTCCTCCGTTGATGCAGGAGGCGGCGTCACAGACCCCACTGCTGCATTCCCCTAAACAGAGGGATGGTTACAGAGCCAGGTCACCAGGTGCCCTCCCAGAGATACAGATGACCACAGCATCATGTGGGGCCCCATTCCTGCAGTTCACCCAGGCATAACAGACACATAGTCAGCAAAGGGGAACCCACTCTTCACTTTCGTCTCATGTTGGCTTAGCCCCTGGAAGAGCCATAGACTTTTCAAACGTGATGGACATAATAAATCAAAGGACACATTTATAACCTCCGAGGGGATGATGGAACAGTTCCTGCTTTTAATCCATCTCTCTGCTGTTCCTGAAAGAGGGATGGACAGCAACCCGTCCCTTCCCCCCATCACCTGAGTGTTTACATTAAAAGCGTCCTGATTGTGTGACCCCAATTAGCTTAAGTGCTGCTGTCTCACTGGTTCAAAGCTCAGCCATGCAAGGCAAGCTTCCGAAAAGCAGAACTCCATCATGGAGCTTCTCTCCGGGGCAGGACGAGGAGAGGTACCCACGAGGGGGGGAGCCTTGGAACATGCCCCAGAACCCTGCTTTTCCTTCCACAGTTAGGTTCCTTCATAGTGAAAAGCACTTCAGGGTCATCTGCATGTCACAGGATGTGGGTGTGATTGTGTGTGTGTGTGTGTGTGTGTGTGTGTGAAAGAGAGAGAGAATGTGAGTCCATATGTATGTATATGTGTGTATATGTGCATGTAAGTGTATATGTGTATATGTATGTGTGTGAGAGAGAGCATGTGTGTATCTCAGTGACAGATCATTTATGAGTATGTGCGTGAGAATGTATATGAGTGTGTAAGTATGAGAGAGTATATATGGCAATGAGTGTGAGAGTGTGTGTGTGTGAGAGAGAGTGTGTGTGAAGAATATATTTGTGTTTATGTGTGGGAGAGAGATTGCATGTTTGACAGTGAGAATGTGTATGTGTGGTAGAGAGTGTGTTTGTTAGTATATGTGTGAGTCTACATTTTTGAAAGGGTATGTGAGAGTCTGTGTGTGTGAGAGAGAGAATGTGTGTATGTATACTGTATGTGTGTAAGAGTGCATGTGTGTGTGTGAATGTATGCGTATGAGAAAGTAGATAGGAGTGTATGTTTACTGTGTGAGTGTGTACGTGAGAGAACATGTGTGTGTTTACTGTGTGTCTATGTGAGAGAGCATGTGTGTTATATGTATGTATGTTTGTGTGAGAGAGAGCGTGTGTATGTGTGTGCATATGTGCATGTGTGTGTGAGAGAGTGTATGATAAAGTGTGAGAGTATATATATATGAAAATGTGTGAGAGACAGAGTATGTGTGAGTGTGTGTTTGTGTGTGAGGGAATCTGTGTTGTGAAAGTGTGTATGTGTGTGTGAGAGTGCGTTTATACAAGTGACAGAGAGCATATCTGTATATATACTGTGTATATGTATATATATTTGTGTGATAGTACACGTGTGAGAGAGAGTGTGTATCTGTGTGTGTGTGTGTGGGAGAGAGAGAGAGAGAGAGAGAGAGAGAGAGAGAGAATGTATGTGTATGTCTTTTTATCAAACAGAATATTTCTCCCTGACTTGCTCCGGCTGCCTCTCTTCTGTGCCTCTCACAGTCTCTCTGGAAACACTAGATGTGTACAAAGCACTTTTTCCAGGGAGGAGGGCAAAGTGTATGTGTCTGCCAGGGATACAAGGTGTCCATCCACGCTGCTTGCCAGTGTTCTGCACACCTACCTGATTTGGTAGCCAGTTCCCTAGAGATGAACAGACCCCCTTGACCTGGCTGTGTCACCTCAGTAAGGCCAGCCCCATCCTGAGCAGTCACCAGCATTCCCTCGCCATAAAGACTCCCAGACAGGTGGGCAAGGCTGTGTGCTCGGTTCTCACATGGGACAAGGAAACCAACTTCAGTAGGTTAAACACATACAAACCCTAGTGGACTACCGGGTGGGTGGGTCTCTGAAAATCCCGGCTGCTAGCCGCCGGGTCAAATAAAACTGGCCACCGTCTATCTCCTTTTGTTCTCAGCTGTGAGAACATGGCTTCCAGTCTGTGTCTGGAGACACAGGCTTTGGTGTGACAGTAAGACTTCCATGGGGCCAAGGGCCCAATAGTTCTGGTTCCAGATGAGGAGTGAAGTCTGTGGCTTATTTCAGATTCATGGGGAAGAAAGTAATATTCAAATCTTCTTCCTTCAATGTGGCCCTTTTAAGAGGAGGGAATGGAAGTGGGGCATGGAACCCTGGCAGGCGCTTCCTTGAAGAGTTCCAGGAAGCCGCTTTGCTAATGGCATTCAAGGTCTCTGATGGGAGGCACAGGAGATGGGAAGACATCCCATGGGAAGGTAATGGGGACCAGAGAGGCAGTAGCAGAAACAGAGATTGAAGGGCTTCGTTATAGAGGCTGGGGATTGGGGGTATGGAGCGTCCAGCTTACTCTTGGAGAAGAAGTGAAGGACTGGGAGGTGAAGAGCAGAAGAGAAATCCCCTCTAGCACCATGTAAACTTAAGACACTGTGGGCATGCCATTGCTGGAGTTAGAGGTCCTTAGAGGGAGAGCTTCCCCGAGTTCCTGCAGCCATTAATGGTGGGTCTGTGCCCAGATGGCAGAAGACACGAACAGGATGTGGAGGTCCAGGAGCTCCATGAACACCCTGGTTAACATGAACAGGAGCTACTGGTACCGGAATATGGTGCTCTGGACAAAACTCTATCTCCCGAACACACGGGCTGAAGACCTAATACCACATGAGGTCACCAGAGTGAAGCACTAATCTGGTCTGACTGATGTCCTTAGTAGAGGAATTCTGAGTGCCTGAGACACAGGGGTATGACCCACAGAGGCAAGGCTGACCCCGTGTGGAAAAGGTCATAGCTGGCCGTTTGTAAGCCAAGGAGAAAGACCTGGGGTAAAGGGACTCCCATGCACATGGACCTCGACCCCGCAGCTCCTTCAACTACAAGGAACAGATTTCCGTTTAACCCACATAGGCCATGGTGTTTCACTGTGATGTGTCTAAGACTCAGGCAGTCCCTGGAGGAAATGGCCCCTATCCCGCGGCTTTCCAAGGTTGACCATATGTTCTTGTTGCTGGGAAACAACCCCGCTCTGCTGCTACACTGGACAAACACCTCACTTTGCAAAGCCCCCATCATTCATCTATATATCGGCCATAATAATATTCTCTCCCCTCTCTACTTAGGGTAAATGAGAGGGTAGACAAGAACGCATTGGGTAGTATGGTCAAGAATTAGATTGTTCTGGGGCTGGAGAGATGGCTCGGTGGCTAAGAGCACTTGCTGTTCTTGCAGAGGACTCAGGTTCCATTGCCAGTGTCCACACGGTGGCTCACAACTACATGTAGCTCCAGTTCCAGGGGATTCAGACCCTCCTCTGGCTTCAGTGGGCACCAGGCACACAAATAACACAAACATCCATGCCGGCAGACATGGATGCATCTAGGTGAAAGGTCAAACAAAGTACATGCTTCTCTGTCTAGTGAGCTCAGGCTATCCTGGTCGCAAGGCACAGCATGCTTGGTCTCAGGATGGATATGTTCATAGAACACACCCTTGGGATCATCACTCCCGAAGCCTTGTGTAAACCAGAAAGGAAGCGGCCAGGTCCAGTCTAGCCCCGGGACACTCACCTACATCAGCCCCACTGAGGGTTTCTCCCAGTGGCCAGGGTCTCATGTCAATCCTCTTTCCATTAACAGTAAGCGACTGCACACAGCCTTGGAAGCCATAGTTTATCCCCGTGGCTCTCAGCAGCAAGTGAGCGCTGGAAGTGCCACCAAGATACAAAGGTGTCCGGAAGGTAATTTTACTGTACTGGCCCTTTAAGAAAAATAAAAATTTTATCTCACTTTAAAAATAGAAAAAGGAAGGAAGGAAGGAAGGAAGAAAGAGAAAATCCAAAACACAATGGATTGCATTGCGGGGGATGGGATGGCTAAAATGTAGGTTAAAGCCTTAGGGATTCCTGTATCTGGGTTTGTCTTTAGGACTTGGGACTGTTAGGTAATGAAGTCTACAGTTATTGACTACTGTCGTTGACCCGCTGACTCCTTAGAGGGCTGCGCTTCCAGGAGCAGCGGTTTTGGAATGTCTGCAAAGGAAGGAAGGAGGTCAGATCCAAGCCAATCTAGCCGACTCTGAAGCAGGCTGGCACCGAAAAACAACAGTGCCCTTTCCAGTCCTCATAGAGACCAACCTACTGTGTACCTTGGATGGGTCATGGGGCTATTCTGTGTATGCAAAGGTGGCAGGGCATGTGGGGGAGCAGCTGTCTGCACATCTGCCCTTCCACGATCCTGGCCATCTTCACATTAAGTGCTGTTGCTGGGAGATATCCAACAAGTTGTGTTACAGAATATTTTGAAATTTACTCATAGGTATGATTTCTTTTCTTCTTTCTTTTCTTTCTTTTTTTTTTTTTTTTTTTTTTTTTTTTTTTTTTTTTTTTTTTTT